TCCCACTGTACAGAAAACTCCCTCACTAATGAATTAAAGAATTAGGCTAAAATTGCAGTAAATGGTCGAGAGCTTTGAAACGGAATGTTCTGAGAACTTATTTAACACTCTACCTTGCAGAGTGTGTGCTGCGCCCAGTAAATCTTTCAGATTGTCACAGTTTTTTTTTTACAGATTGAACAGGTTTTCCCGTGGCAGTTGATTTCTCTGCAGAGATGTGGCAACCATATATTTTTAGCCAGCGCCTTCATCCAGAAGTATCAAGGATGAGTTTCGTGGAGTATATTATCGATCTAAGTGCAGTGAACCTCGGGTTTGTTGTCGCTGAATAATAGTCCGTCTCGATGTGAAGGTCCCGTTGGAGGGTCTTAAAGTAGGATTCATACTTATTCCGTTTGCCAGCGCTTTTCCCCCATCTTATATCCTCGGAAAAGGTTTTGTCCTCGGTTGTCATTAAATTGATCAACTTGTTGAGCAATGGTGGATAAATGAAATTGAAGGCAGTTGTAATTTTTGTTCTACTTAGTTTTTGCTCATCATTTTTGATTATTGTCAACAAAAATTAAATCTACTTCTAATGTTTAGGTGTTGGTCTTATGTATGATTGTTTATTTTTTTAGTTTTTAGATTCTCATCTGGAAAAATTTGTAATGGGACAGGAAAGACAAAAACAACACTCATCTGATAAAATGAAGTGAATATAAAACAACTTTATTATAAATTCAAAAAAATACAACTGCTTGTACAAGAATCTGTGCGCGAGTGATTTGAATTGCAATTGCAAATTAAATTGATGAAAAATTTGACATTATAAGCAAAGAACGACCGTTGGGTGTGTGACATTTTTCACACCTTCAGCCTGAGAAAGCTATTTACATTGTTTAACTCCAATGTCTAAATAATGTACATTTCGTAATTTTTAGAATTTTTCCTTTTACACCGTTTATTTATAAATAGACTTTGCTTGATTTTGCAGATTGTACTGAAAATAAGTTTGTTCACGTAACGTGAGGCTGGTAAAATTTTTCGAAAATCGATTCCAGAAAGAAATCCTAATAAGTCCTATATCGCTCCTTGGTATGTGTTGAATTTTGAAAACAAATGTTTACTGTCGTAAGTGGTTCCAAGGGAGGGTTTTGACAGTTCGGATTTGTCGAGTATTCCTCTACAAGGTCTTTTTGCCTCGGTTTTGCATAATCTTTCAAAGTTTCCCTCTTAAATACGTAAACTACATATCATTTCCCTCGTGGAGATGGAAAAAGCAGTGCACTTTTCGTACATGAGTTTAATTTCGAATTGGAAGGAAAAGCTCTGAGATAATAAAAACGCTACCTCATTTCCTACATTAAATGGAATTTGGGTAAAAACGTCACCATCTTTCTTGCATGACTTCGATTTTTCTATAATCAAGCTTGGTTCTTTTTTAATGGGTTTATTTTTTGTACATTTTTCCAGTGTTAATTTATCTTGACATAATCATGAGTTTGATATGTTTAACATATCTTTTTTCATTGATGATTTCCTGATTTAAGGCATTCGTTTGATTGAAATTTTGGTAAAATTTTCCGTAGGAGATCGCAATTCTTCTTAATGAAAATGAAAACGTCACTATCGAATCTTGTTTATCCTGGTCTCCTATTTCACATGTTCTCGCCAAATACGAAATTGCTCCCCTGAACTTCTCCCGGGGTTCTCGGTCTATTTTTGTCCTCCTAAAAGTTTATCTTTTCAAAAGTTTTGTTAGACGATTATACGGTTTTTGTTTGACGATTGTTTGTGCAGGCGAAAAATTTGTTCAGTTGACCGACAAAGTTTTTAGCCTGGGTGATTTTGGGAACAAATACTTCTAGTTTTACTCCAAGAGCCAATTAAGGTATCGGTCTCACGTTTTTTTTTCTGTTTCGATTCTTCTCATGCCTCCAAATTTTTGTTTCTATTCCGCAATTGTTTCTATTCTTCCGCGACTTCTTAAACTTGCATAATGTCTTGAATTCTGGCCTTCCTGCCTTTCTCGACTGTTCAACTTTTGAATCATGAGATCTGTCTAGAATTGGGATTTCTGTTTCAACCACCGAAGGTAATTTCAAACTATCGACGTCCAAGTTCTGTTTAGCAATTATTGCTAACTGAATTTGATCACTCTTTTTATTAATTGGGTTGCGGCTCTACAGTGCAAAAAGGGCAAAAGGCGGGAATTCACCTCAAGTTTGAAATTGTTCACTGTGCCATAAAAAAAGAAAACACCACTAATCTGGCAAAATTGACTAATTTAAAAGAGAAAAAAAAGTGAAAACACTCGATATTTTTGAATCTATTCAATAAAAAGAGAGCACAAAAGTCCCTGGACTTCCAATAGAAAAAAACTAGGCCGGTAACTAGTTTTTTAAGAAAAATTCATTTTAAACTAACTAAAAACACAATTTACAACATATGACAAGAATTGTTTCAACCAAAACTATCCTTAATTGGTTTGAAACTCAAACAAAGCAAACTGGTGGCAGTTTTGGTTACATAAGAGCCACTTTGGCATCAAAATTTTTTTGTTATGAACAAAAAAAATAATTATCAAATTTTTTATATATGAAAGTTGTATGAAATGATTTTATACATAGAAAAACTAGAAGTTTGATGTAAGTTTTTTAAATCCTTTGTTAGTTGCAAATTTGCTTCTGTCCTCGAATATACAGTTTACAAAAAAAAAATTCGAGTCTATGACGTAGTCCAGGTTGAGTTTAAAAATCATACTTAAGTGTTGCTTTTGTCAACAAATTCAATTTTTTTCGTTTTCATATGCTAATATAAACATCACTTTAAGAAAAAAAAACATTATTTGTTTATGCCTGGCTAATATTACTGGATGTTGCTTAGGTGGGTGGGGGTTCTAGAGTGTAATAGGATCAAAAGGCAGGAATTCCACTCAAGTTCGAATCTGTTGACTGTGCCATAATAAAGACTGTGAAAACATCTCTAATCTGGCAAAATTGACTAAATATAAGTGAAAAGGAACGAAAATGAAAATACTAGATTTTTTTGTTATCTATGTAACAATAAGAGAACCCCAAAGTCCACTAGACTTTGAGTAGACAAAAACTAGGCAGGTGTCTAGTTAAGAATAAAGGTCAATTTGAACTAGCTAAAAACATAATTAATAACACGACAATTATGACACAGATCATATGACACAATTAATAACCTGTTATGTGTGGTTACTGCCACTTACACCCTGGGTTTTTTTGTTACAGTGCTTAGGATGGGAAACAAAAATGTTTAAAAAATTGAGGTGTTTTTTTACGGAAAAAATGCTGGTCATACGATTTCATAGTCTGGAAAAGCATTATTATACAATTTCATAGTACAAAAATTGTGTTCAAAATAATGGCAAAAAAACTTGTTATTTTACTCCAAAAGGTAGCAAAACTGCGTATTATAAAATTCAATAAAAAAGATTACCATGCTATTTTTATACTTTTTTTTGGTCCATGAGGTAGTATGAAACAGTTCGATAAGCCATTTTTTGGTTTGAAATTCTATGATAGAAATATTTTTATCATCCCAAGTATTGGCCAACAGTTTTTGTGTAACCACAAAAATTATCTATAAAGACAATGAGGTTCGCGCAAATTATTTTAAAGGAAATGTCGTTGCAACCAAAGTGACTTGCTCAATCGGTCTTGCGACACGCATTACGAGGCCAAACTGTACATTTTGTGCATTGTCAGCGGATTCCGCAACAAGCCGAAACCAGATTTGTCGCAGAATCGGCAACTTTGCTCTTTTTCTTTGATCTTCTTCGCTGTTTCGGATTCCGCAAACAAAGACTTAAAACATTGTACAGCTCAAAATCGCTCCAAAATAGGCAATTTTACGGAATCCGCAACCGTAATTGCGGAATCCAGAACATTTTGTGGAACCGACAAACAAATATTAAGATATTTGCATAGTTGAATTGAGCTGTTGCGGATTCCGCAACTGCAAGCTGAATCCGCAAACGGTAAGTAGAATCCGCAAATTGTAAATGGAATCCGCATTTTGTATATGTGAAGTATAGTGCTTTAAAAAATTTATCTTTTAATTACTGGTTACCAGAAAAAATCAATCTCAATTACTACCTTGATCAAATACCAGTTGAAACACCAAATGTTTGGTCTCAATTCCTGTCAACCTAACTTCGATCTCAAATACTGTCAATTTCGATCTCAACTTCGATCCCAAATACTGACCTACTCAACTTCGATCCTAAATACTGACCTACTTCGATCTGAAATTTGCAAATACTGATGCAATCCTAAATACAGACGTAATTCGGCAATATGCTGCCCATACACTCTCAAGCCAATGACTCCAAATATTGAACTTATTCGGTGTTTTTTTTCCAAAATACTAAATGGTGACATCCACCGATTTAGCTAACAACTGTTTTGAGACTTTTTCGTGGATTCCGCTGACAAAGGTCAAGTCCTTGCCTTTAAATTCCGCATTGCCTTAGATAGGAACTCCAGCTCTAGCTTTTAATTGTTCATATGCAAGTTCAGAAATAAACAAAATTCTAAAACCACTACAGCGGATTCCACTTACATTTGCGGATTCTACTTACATTTTGTGGAATCCCCTTACAGTTTGTGGAATCCAGAACAGCTAGCTATATTCGCTTGTTTCGGAATCCGTGGCACAACAAATGTGCCAACAAAGTTTAAATTACAGGTATTTGTACGCGGAATCTACGGAAGTTTTGTAATTGGAATCCACTGACTTTTTGGAGCATGTTGAAAAGTTTGTCTATGGAATCCAGGAACATACAGACACAAAATTATGCACCTATACAGTGCACAGCTTGGCCTCGTAATGCGGTTCGAAGTTTTTTACTGATTTAGATTTAGTTGCCCGTCAAACCATTATATCTACGGTCTGTTGATTATAGCATCGGTTAATTCATTCTGTTCTTGAACGATTCTGTTCAGTCACGTACTCCATTTTTGATAAATTTCTCTTCTAAATAAACACTGAAACCAGCATAGAAACCAGCCTGTCAAACCATTATATTTACGGTCTGTTGATTATAGCATCGGTTAATTCATTCTGCTCTTGAACGATTCTGTTCAGTCACGTACTCCATTTTTGATAAATTTCTCTTCTAAGTAAACACTGAAACCAGCATAGTTTTTTATTTTAAACATAAAAATATACAGAGAGAGATTTAACTTTTAATCTACGGTTTATTGAACACACAGTACGGTCTGTTATTGAATATATCCTGTAAAATTTATTATAGACTTCTGCTTGCTACTCAATCATTCTTTTTGTTTAAAATATGGGTAACTATTCTATTCAAACACTTGGTTTGGTCTGCGGCGCATTGCTTTGGAAACTAGCTTTGGGAACCGGTGAATTCTGTTTGGAAGACAGTGACTGTATATTTTGCTGCTCGAGGAACCAATGTCAAGATGGCTGCGGGCGGTAAAGCGATATAACTTGATTTTTTTTTCATGATAGACATTTTATTTTGTTTTTTTTTCTGGATAAACTTTTTGCCGTCCCGAGATAATTGACAAAAACGCAAAATTGAACATTAAAAAAAATTCGATGTTTTTATGCGGTTTATTGAAATGAATATATTTGTAGGATTGAAAGCCCAGAACATTTGATAGTGATCGTTTTATGGTAAAAGATTAATTTCAGGTGTAGATAGTTCCAAGTTTGTGTGAAATTGTTCAATGTTTGGGGGGGGGGGCGTAGCGGCTTTCATGCGTGCCGTTTAGCATATGCGCAATTAAAGTCATTACTTACTTATTAACCGCATGCTAATCTATGCGCATGCAAGTAGGCCGGTGCTTCATTGTTGCGTTCTTGTTAACTATCACAAAAAAAAGCGAGATTTGCGAAAAAAGCGAGATTTGGTAATTACGCGTTAAAAATTCGTTAACACGTTGAATTTTTTGTTTATCACGTGTAGAATTTTGGCTCTTAGGTACCATCGGAGAAAAAATTACAAACCTCAATTTTTCATATGACGGTCGGCAAAGATCAGAGGAAAGTGTATAAATTAACCGGAATATCCCAACTTGACGAAGAAGATTTCAAAATTTTTTAAATGTTTTTAGGTTCAGCAGTTGGTGGTATTTCATCGGATTTCCTGCAAGCATCTGTATTGGTGTTGCCGTCAGATTCTTCATACGCTATCTTCTCAATAGCGCAGCTTCTGGTAAGCATTTTTTTTCCTTTTTCCTCAAAAAACCCGATGACATTAGTGTCAGTAGTTGAAAACATTATTAATCTGCATATTAAATTGTATAAATTTTAACTGTATATTGTATGCATAAAAACGTTTGACACTTTGTCGACAATTTCCGAGCTCTGCAAAAACCAAAAAAATATCTGTGACTCAATTATACAAAAAGAGCTAGGACATTACGAGGCCAAGCTGTGCACTTGATAGGCGCACAATTTTGTGTCTGTATGTTCTTCGATTCCAGAGACAAGTATTTAAACATGTTCCAAAATGTAAATGGATTCCATTTACAAGAATTACGTGGATTCCGCGTACATATACATGTAACGTAAATTTTTTCGGCACGTCTAAAGCAAATATAGCTAGTTGTTATGGATTCCGCAACTGTAAGTGGATTCCACAAAATGTAAGTGGAATCCGCAAATGTAAGAGGGACTCGCACTTACAGCTGTAAAGAATTTCAACTCCAAAGAAATTCAGAAATTTGTTTATTACTGAACTTGCATATGCACTTGCGGAATTTAAAAGTAGGGATTTAACAATTGTCAGCGGAATCCACGACCAAATCTTAAAACATATTGATTAACTTAATCGATTGATGTCACACTTTAGTATTTGCATCAGTTTTTGTGATCATAGTTTTGGAAACACAACACCGAATAAATTCATTGGGTTAATTCGGTAAATGGGTTAATTGATTATTGGGTTGACGTATCGCGGATTTAGGTCAGTATTTGGGATTTAGTATTTGAGAATCAGTATTTGGGATTTTGTATTTGACATTCAGTATTTGAGAGCGTGAATTCAAATAATAAAGATAGTATTTGGGATGAGATGACAGAGTACTGAAGAGATATCGCCGTATTAGGTCCGTATTTGGGTCTCAGTATTTGAGATTCAGTATTTTGGATTCAGTATTTGAGATTCACTATTTTGCAGCGTGAACTCAATTTATGAAGATAGTGTTTAGGTTGAGATAACCGAGTGAAATCATGAGTTAGCTATTCAAAACTTTCTGAATATCTAACTCACATTTATTAAACAAATTTAGAGCTCTGAAGGTCTTATTCTCAAGAATCTGCCCTGTCTCAAATAACTGTTGGATATTGCTCAAAGCCTGCCAGAGTCTTTTCATGGGGCAGATAAAGAGATCTATAATCAAAAAAACGTAGTTTTTATTATCAAACAAGGCTTTTTTGCAAAAACCTAATTTTAAGGTTTTTTTTTGCTGTTCGCTGGGGGGGTTGGTTCGCTAGACAATTTTTCAGCATAACACTGTGACAAAGCCACTGTATTGATTTTCGATAATTTTAACAGGTAATTTTTTGCTATTAAAAAAAATATGGTCGGTTTTTCAAGAAAAACTTTGGAAAATTCATCATCTGGAGTGTCGAAAAACGAGGTCAATTTTGCGAGTTTTTTTTCCAGAAATTTTATTTTTTAACAAATTTTCAAAATCAAAATGTCAAACAAACAAGTCAAATGTTGTTTAATATCAAGAAACAACCCTTTAAAGTAGGTATGAGTTCAAAAATCGGTGTTTATTTTTTTTCAGTTTTTTTGATTTGTGATTGTTTTTTCAGAGTGTTGACAAATTTTTTGTTAGGTTTTTTTTTATTCGATGTTCAGAGTCCTGAAAGAATAATTTTTCCATGACAAAAGTTATCTTATCTTTGCATGGGTCAATTAGGCATATGACTGGCTTTAGGTATGTGCAAAATTAGGTCGGTCACGTTTATAATTGAATAGAGGCCGGCCAAATGTTAGTCAAATTATGGAAAATTTTCAGAATTTGTAAATTTTTTCAGTTATCATCTGAATCCTTGAAAAATTTGGAGTCTTTGTTAAATTTTTTTATTTTGCTCTCTAGACGTACGCACTACTGAGTTAGCAAAAAATGATGTTCGTTCTTGATTGTTCTGTGTCCTTATATTTTTCTGTTTAGTGGTAAGATATAAGGTTTTTTACCTTGTCTATTTTCAAATTCAACCTGGAGGCAGCTGTTATTTGAATGCCGTCAATGAGAAAGAATTTCTCGAACTGCTTACTGTTTGTTATTACTGTTTGTTTATACTTGAGCTTTTGAATTTAACCAAATTCTATTTTTCCAAAACTTGAATTACAGCAGATTTAAATTTAAAGTTCAAAAACATGAATAAATAGTCCTGAAATTGTTTCCTTATAAAACTATGTTCTGGTCTCGCAATTTGAAAATATTTCAAAATGGCTAAATTCAAACTTATTAATTTTAATTCAATGGCTTGAAATGAACTGATGAATAAGTTTTGTTCCGTATTTTCAGTTGGCAGGAGTTGAGATGGCAGAAATTGAGATTGATGACAGGAAATGAGATTGAAGTTGGATATGTTTGACAGGAATTGAGATCGAATGTTTGCCACTCCATCTGGTAACTGACAACGTTGTAATTAAAAGATTTAATTTTAAACGCTACTAAACCTACATATCTGTAAAGGGAATCCGCTAACAAAATGCGGATTCCACTTACAGTTTGCGGATTCCACTTACAGTTTACGGATTTCATTACAGTTTGAATATTCCAGTTACAGTTGCGAATTACGCAACAGCTCAATTCAACTATACTCATTATTTGCTTGTGGATTCCACAAACTGTTCAGTTATAGGGGTGCATTGGGCAAGAATCACCTCAAGAAAACTGCTTAGCGCAACTCAAATTTTCAAGGATATGATAAAAAAAGATATACTTCCAAAATTTCCTGCAATCAGGATGTTTAAGCTCAACATTTTTTAAAACAAAATAGACAATAATGGAAAACTCGGTTTTAGAAAAATGATCTCTGTGTAAAAAAAATTATTTGAGGAATGGGTATATTTTGTTCTGTTCAAACATTACCGCAAACTATCAAGCGACATATTGAAATTATGTGTAACTAATATTGAAAAAATAGTTTTAAAATACCTTTTTTGGGCCGAGTTTCTATTTTGCGCCAAAATCGCTACTTCAATTGCCAAATGTCAGGACAAAGTTAAAATGCCAACAAAAGAGCTGCTTGTCAAGGCAACGCACAGCGGGCCTAGAATGACTAAACATGCTAGTCATACAATTCTCTGATATGTCCAGACATTTTGAAATTATGCCTGGAATAGCTTACTCATAGAGTAATTTTAGATAAGGTACACCGTCTGTCCGTCACGCTATCTTATTTTGGACCGAATAGATTCGTGCAACTTTTTAGTCTAATACTGATTTTAATTTTACTCTTATATATCCTAGTCTCAATAGATCTAGTGTATACTAGTATTTGCGGGTTAGGTATCTGGAACTTATTCCAAAGGAGAACAACTGTCTGCTATGTTATAATTAAAATTTTCTGGCGCTAAAACTACAAAAATTTCGAGCATTTCAATTAATCAGCAGTGTCAGTTATGGATCATGATTGGTTAGATAGAAACTTTTTATAGAGATAGTTTCATCAAGAATATAACTGAATGTAAATCCCAGTTTTCAACAGGTTCCACCCATCTGGGGTGTAGAGTTTCAGTTTTCAGATTGCTTAGTGAAGTGAAGGATGTATGGAGAGATTTTTTTCTTTTTGGAGTCTTTTCCTTCTGAAGCTACGACTGCGTGAAGGAAGGAGAGATTTAGTTTTCTCGTTTGAACCTAGATCGTCGAAAGTGATCGTGTCAAGATTTCAGATTGATGCAACGATGTGTCGATTTCGTTAAGCTAGACCAAGAGTACGTGCAAGATGAAGTTTGACTTTTCTGTGTGAAGAGTCAAGTGAATAGGGTCTGTATGTGAAGTCAACATTGAGTTCGCCATTGTTTTTTTTCAATGGGTTCCTTTGTTGCGATGTTGGGTCCCTACTTCAAATCCTGTTAGGGTTGCGACTACGGCAACAAACCGATAGACTTGCCAATCCAGAGTCGGAATTTCGTCGGGTTTTCATCTTCGTTTGTTGCTCGTACCGTTTGCACATCGTGTTGTGGTGGGTTAGGTCAGAAGGGAGTGTAGTTTTACCGACTCTTTGAGCAGAGTCTCTTTTTGTGTTTTATTTTATCTATTTTATCACTTTTGTTCTATTTTATCAGGTGTTTTTCACTTTTCTGTTTTCAGTTGTGTCCTCTTATCAAAAAAAATTGTTGGGTTTTGGGTTTTTTTTTTAAAGTTTTTAGCGTTTCAAGTGGTTTCAAAAAAACCTTAAAAGGAAAGTGGGTTTCAAAAGAATAATTTATCAAGTTTAAATCTGGGTTTTATCTGATCTGAGTACCGTGGGACTCATTTATACATGCGGTTGATTTTTGTATTAGTAAGCTGCGTTGTTTAGTTTAGGCTTACTTATAGTTCCAACCGAGTTAAGGGAAAGTTTGAAATGTGTGAAAGCAAGTAAGAGTTGTTATCATTTATTATTCAAACCTAAAGTTCATTTATTAAACAGTTCTACGTGGGCGAAATGTGCGATTTTGGTGGACAGAGTGTGTGAAATTTGGTCAAGTAAATGACAAATATCGAGTTATAAAAGAAGCTCACATAAAAAATTAGTTGCTTGTAATCTATTTGCTTTTCTTTTACTATCTTAAATTTTTTGAATTTCACTGCAGAATTATTAATTTATTGCATTGGCTATGAACTTTATTGCACTTGGATAATTCAGCTTCGTTGTTAGATTAAAATTTTAATTTTACAAAAATAGTTTGCCATTTTTTAATTTATTTGGATTTTTTTGTTTTTTATGAATGACTGCTGAAACCTAAAAAAATTAGAGGAAAAACTTGTTTAACAATGGTGGGTGTTTTGTTTTATTTGTTAAAGTTTTAATAATATTCATGCATATGTGGGCTCTGTTTCAGTGTAAAATTCATGGGGAAAAGTAGTCGTTGTCGTGTCTGATGTAATGAGAAGCTTGGCGACCGTGCGGATTACGTTTTTAGTGCGAAGCAGAGGCAAAAGAAGTCCAAGTGGTCTGATTTTTTCTACTTCTTCGGTAGGTGTT